AAAAAAAATAAGTTCAAACTTTGAGTATTGCACTAAATTTTGAATTTTTATTTCATTTACTTTATTCACAAATTAGATTTTGGAATAATAAGGTGTGGCAAGACAAGTTGACTTTCACTAGAGTGCTACTATAGTTTCATATTAAGTCTTGTTTAATAACTTAATTATGAACAATTTAAGGTTTATTTAATTAAGTGAGCAATTGGAGTATCATCAGTAAAAGGTAAAAGCTTCCGTACTTAAAATCTAGCTATAAAATTTTTAGTACTTAATTTTCAGTTTATCAAACAATCAGGCGGAGCCAATGCATGCTCGGGAAACATGCCCCTGTCCCTTCCCTTATATATGTATAATTTTTTGTTATTTTTTTCATATATATATGAGAAATTTTATAGTATGCCCCCCTAAAATTTTCAATTACTAAAATTATCTCTTATTCTTTTAGATTTTTTTTCCTTCTTTTTACTCTTTATATTCCTTTAATTTCTTTTTTTTTTAAAAGGTTACATTCCTATTTCCCTTTCGTCAATCAAATCCTTTTTTTTTTTTTTTTTTTCCTTCAAAGTTCTCTCTCTTGTTTTTTTTTTTGGCACTTATATAGTTATATATGATTTATGTAACATTTTTTTTTTCTTTTTGTTCTTAATTACATTTATTGTTGTAATTTTATGAATTCAATGTGTTTAGTTTCATGCATAGCTTTCAAAATAAATTTATATTTGTCATATTTTTTGAATTTGTTTTTTAAGAATCTAAGTACATTATGCCCCCCAGTCGAAATTCGCTACTGATCGCTGAGGGAGTTGCCAGCTTCTGATGGTTTTTCACAAAAAGTGAAGATAATACTAGGTTAAACTTTTAATAATACATGGCCCTGGGTTGGATTGCATATATGGATTTGGACTTTTGTTTTTAAATGAATGAATGATGAAATTAGATTGAGTTGGGTTGGGCCGAGTTTTACATCTAAAACAAAAAATCTAAATGTTTAATGGGCCCATTGGATGTGGCTAAGCCTTCATAATATAAAATTATAAAAAATTTGTTCACGAACATAGGAGTGAAATTGGTTTGTTTATTAAATGAGTTTAATTTTTTTTTTTGAGATTGGTTCATTTACTAACGAACACTAATCGAGCTCTTAATGAGCCGAAGTCAAGCCTTTCATCGAACGTTAAATTCATTTATAGCCATTGGGCCTCGTTTTTATACAATTATAATTTTTTACACTTAGGCATATAATTTATAAATATTTACAAAATGTCCCCTTAATCTTTTTCTAAAAATCTCTATAATTCTTTTTTTTTTTTTATGTTTTTATTCATTGTTACTCTTTTTCTTTAATTTTTATTTTTGATTCACTTCAAAATTTTATATTCCCTTTATTCAACCGAACTCTTTTTTTTTTTTTCGTTTTTCAAAGTTCACACACACACAAACATATATATATTTTTCTTCTTTGTTTTTCTTCATTTGTTTTTTTTTTTTTTTTTTTTTTTGTGGCCAAACAACTTTATAATAAAAATAATATAATATGAATAATATTATTGAAAATAATTCAAATTTTTTTAATGAAAAATCATGCAACAAATTAGTTATCAGACACGTTTTGTTTAGGAATAAATCATACCACAAAATTTAAAAATATATATCTTTGCTTCATCTGAAATTAAAAATGCAAAGTAAAACTTATTGCCAACAGTACCCTCGATTAATATTGGTATTTTATGTTTCCCAATATTTTTTTTACAACAATTGTCTTTAAATTATTAAATAAAAAAAATACTATATGGGAGGAAACTAATGATATTTAAAAAATCAACATCAATGGTCATTTTTTCCAAATAGTGATAGATTCCTAATCTCCAAAGTTCAGGAATCAAGGATAGACAACAAAGTAGAAGGAATCAAATTTGAAATCTGAATCACGATATCCGTAATCTTAAATTCTCCAATCAAATCCTCCTCCTGGAATCTGGATTAACAATTTAGAATCGCAAGTATATATCAATTTCAGGGCAGTACTGTAGCTATGTAGTAGATAGACACTAAGAAATGATGATGTCATTATTAACATAATGGAAAATTATTAGCCCATCAATCCTATAAAAAAATGTTTCTTCTTTTCATTTTTAATTGTTTCAAAATAAATATCTCAATTAAAAAGTTAATGTATTCTTATTTTTTACATGATATCACTAATTTAATTTTCTTACATTGAATTATTATATATTATTTTAATAAATTTAATTATTGTAAATTTGTAGCTCTATCAGGCAATAAATATTTTTTTTTATAAAAAGGAGAAAGTAATTATTTATTGTTAAAGTCTTTAGCCACGAGAAGGTCGTTTCAATATATTTGATAGTTCTATTATCAATGGCATCAACCAATTATATCATATTATATATATATATATATATATATAATAGTATTTAATAAACTAGTACTTTCTTTGTTTAAAAAATAAACTTCCTGTTTAGAGAATAGAGGTATATATATGTATAAAATAGTATTAATAAACTAGTACTTTCTTTGTTTAAAAAATAAACTTCCTGTTTAGAGAATAGAGATACCCTGTTTTAGGAGCCGTGACTCGCGACAGGGCTACTAATATCAAGGCCAGATGTAATTAATTATTATTTTTTTTCCAAAAATATCAGGGCCAGATGTAATTAATTATTATTTTTTTTTCAAAAAAAAAAAAATACCTATTCACAAGCTCGACTTTTAGGAAACAATCAAGAAGAGAACCTCTGTTTCCATATCTCATTTCCATCTCGTTCGCCAAAACCTACCGACAACCTCTGTTTCTCTCTGTGCTTGTCAAAAATGGCGGCCACTGCTGCGAAACCTTTCATCTCCATGCCCTCTCCTATCTTACCTTCAAAATCCTCAAAACCCATTTCCAGATTCACTCTCCCATTGTCCTTTAACCCCCAAAAACCCAATCTCCACCGTTTACTCCACATCTCAAATGTCCTCTCCAATCCCCAAACCACCACCACCACCACTGCTGAAACCATTCCTGGAACCTTCATTTCCCGATTCGCCGCCGACGAACCCAGAAAGGGCTCCGACGTCCTCATCGAAGCCCTCGAGCGCGAAGGTGTCAGGGACGTCTTCGCCTACCCCGGCGGCGCATCAATGGAGATCCACCAAGCCCTAACGCGCTCCAACACCATCCGAAATGTTCTCCCACGCCACGAACAGGGCGGCGTCTTTGCCGCCGAGGGCTATGCCCGCGCCTCTGGCCGCCCCGGCGTCTGCATCGCCACCTCGGGCCCCGGCGCCACCAATCTGGTCAGTGGACTCGCGGATGCATTGCTTGACAGCGTCCCAATTGTCGCCATTACCGGGCAAGTTCCTAGACGAATGATTGGCACCGACGCATTTCAAGAAACCCCAATTGTTGAGGTAACTCGCTCTATCACTAAGCATAATTATCTGGTATTAGATGTTGAAGACATTCCTCGAATTGTGCGTGAAGCTTTCTTTCTTGCATCTTCTGGCCGACCTGGTCCTGTGTTGATTGATATTCCGAAAGATATACAGCAACAATTGGTTGTTCCAAATTGGAATAAACCCATTAGATTATCTGGTTACATGTCTAGATTGCCAAAACCACCCAATGAGGCTCAATTGGAGCAGATTGTTAGGTTGATATCGGAGTCGAAGAGACCTGTTTTGTATGTGGGTGGTGGGTCTTTGAATTCGAGTGATGAGTTGAGGAGATTTGTGGAGCTTACAGGGATTCCGGTGGCAAGTACTTTGATGGGTCTCGGGTCATACCCGTGTTCGGATGAGCTTTCCCTGCAAATGCTTGGGATGCATGGTACTGTGTATGCAAATTATGCTGTGGATAAAAGTGATTTGTTGCTTGCCTTTGGAGTAAGGTTTGATGACCGTGTGACCGGAAAGCTTGAAGCTTTTGCTAGCCGAGCAAAAATTGTTCACATTGATATAGATTCAGCTGAGATAGGGAAGAATAAGCAACCCCATGTGTCCATTTGTGCAGATGTGAAGTTCGCTTTGGAAGGTCTGAATATGATATTAGAGAGGAAAGTAGCGCAGGGTAAGTTTGATTTTTCAGCTTGGAGGCAGGAGCTAAAGGAGCAGAAAATGAATTACCCATTGAGTTTTAAGACTTTTGGGGATGCTATTCCTCCTCAATATGCAATTCAGGTTCTTGATGAGTTGACCAAGGGGAATGCGATTATAAGTACTGGTGTTGGGCAGCATCAAATGTGGGCTGCACAATTTTACAAGTATAATAGGCCTCGGCAATGGCTGACATCGGGTGGATTGGGGGCTATGGGTTTTGGATTGCCTGCTGCAATCGGAGCTGCTGTTGCAAGACCTGATGCGGTTGTTGTGGACATTGATGGTGATGGAAGTTTCATCATGAATGTCCAGGAGTTGGCAACAATCAGGGTGGAGAATCTTCCGGTAAAGATAATGATGCTGAATAATCAACATTTGGGTATGGTTGTTCAATGGGAGGATCGGTTCTATAAGGCTAACAGGGCCCACACGTATTTGGGTAACCCATCAAAAGAGTCCGAGATATTCCCCAATATGTTGAAGTTTGCAGAAGCTTGTGATATACCTGCTGCCCGAGTGACAAAGAAGGGAGATCTTAGGGCTGCAATTCAGAAAATGTTGGATACTCCTGGTCCGTACTTTCTGGATGTAATTGTACCTCATCAGGAGCATGTACTGCCTATGATCCCCAGTGGCGGAGCCTTCAAAGATGTGATCACCGAAGGTGACGGAAGATCACAATATTGATCTTCTGGAGTGATGAAGCTGGTTTCAGATGTTGCAAGTAGCAATTCTGAGCTTTGCAAAATGGTGTGACCTGTTTTTAGCTTAATATGTTTGTAATTTGGGTTATGTTTGTTTATTTTATGGACTGGTTATACTGTTTTCTCTTTAGTTAATTAAATAGTAGTGGTAATGTTATCTAACAGTTTATTTTGTTTAATTTGAATCTCGTCATGTATCCACTTTTTGAGGACTGTTATGAATGTTACTCGTTTCAATTCTATGGTGAATTGTGCTACACCATTGAGGTTTGCTTTTGCCCTGTTTTCACACCTCTCTTACTGTCAATTTTGCTCCATTTGATTGAGAAAATTTAGGAAAGAAAAAAGAATTTGAAACATATGACGAATTTTCTTTTTGTACTTCGTAGATTTTTAATTTTTTTATAAGAAAAGATTGAATAAATTTGACAACAATTTTATGTAGAAATCAATGCTATTGTTTTTAGTAGAGTTGAATTTCTCCTTCTTTTTTTTTTTCCCTGAATAAACTCTGAGGTATTTATTATTAATTATTATTTTTCTTATTTTCGGGTTCATCTGAAGCTAAACAGAGGGTTCGTGGCTTTGGTTTTCAATTTTTATACCATTTTTGTTTTGGGATTCTTGTTTTGAATTGTGTTATAGTGGTAATGTGATTAATCATCTGGCAAATTAGGACCATTTGAAGAATTTGAAGGGATTTTTGTGGAAATATGGCTGTGGGACGGATCACTTGGATTCTGTTAGGATTTCTGAGGTGGATCTGGGTAAGGTATCTTTTCTGGTTACATTTTGTGTCCTTTTATGCATAATTTGCATCCACTGAATGCATTATATGTGTTAGTTGGTTATGAGAGAAGATTGTTTCAAACTAGTATCTTCTATAAACTACGATGTGTGAGTTGAGAAGTATTGACATGAAAAGTGGGCATAGCATTCAAACATAAGCTCTTTGTTCTTGTAACTTATCAGTGTACTATACTCAATAATTTACAGACTTATTCCTACAAATATGTGTGTGAGAGACCGTAATGGCTGCAAAAATAGCAACCCGTAGAGTTGGGATGCATTTGACTTCAATTTGCACAGTTGTGCTCTACACTGACATACATTGATCAACATTCTAATAGTTAAAGTAAAACACTAAACATAGCATTTAAGTTCAATGAAACACAATAGAATCTGCATTCATTGGTGTGAAACCATTAGTTTGTTGTGTGTGAAATTTTCTGAACTTGGTAAATACCCTCTTAAAATTATGCGTAGTATATACTATGAAAATATTCGTCATAGACGGAAACATTTAGCAAGTGTTGTTTTCCTCATTGTTGACCATTTGCTATGTAAACGTCTAAAATTATGTATTTTTGTTGCAGTCAAAAGCCTCCTTCAGCAGCTTTATAGTGGCTTTGCTTTGAAAAAAAGAAAAAGAAAAAAAGAAGAGCTTTAGAGTTTGTCAAAATTTTAGTTACAGCTGTGTTCATGATTGGATGGTGAAAGATTGTGAAAAGCTTTTCTGTTCCACAAAGGTTTTTTTTATGTATAAGAGTGTTGCATTTTTATATTCTTTGGAATTTTTGTAAGAGATACTTGGTACTTTTCATCCGCGATAATTGCATTTTGGATGACAAAGTTTAGACTTTAGAGCAGTGCTACTTTGTGCGAGTTTAATTCCCATGCACTCCCATGCACTCTCGGCTTGGTTATTTTTTCACTTTCTCTAACAGAATTGTCCTTTATCTTAAGAAGTATTATTTATTGAGTATAACAAAATATAATAAGTAACATCAAGTCTCACTCTATCTCTTTCTCCCAAACTAGATGTCTAGATACTTCAGCTGCTGTATTAATATTTATTTGCAGCATGTGTATGCTTTATTTGATTTTTCTCATGAAAAAATAAGTTTGTATGCTAATAAGTTATAACAGGAATTCATATATAACTATGCGTGAGTTACTGTTTGTGTACACAGACACACACATATTTGTTTTCAAATTGTTCTGGCATGTTTGCCAACCCATTCATTTGAGATAAAGGTAAGGATGATGACGATGAAATTATTTTGGCTCATGTTTTATTAATTATATTGATACTTTTACAATCTCCACTCCATAAATTATTTAAATATTATTTCTTTACATAGTTCTATCACATTATTTACCATTTTTCATGTATTTGTGGTCGAACTGGGAGAAAAAGTGCATATCCTTGAAGAGTGGAGCTTCGAGTGAAGGATCTCATGGACCTTATATTGGACCTTCAAATGATGTCGACAATGAACTGAACTCTGAATATATAGATACTTTTGACAAAAATAATATCCTCTCTCTTAAATCAAGCTTTTCAAATGATGTTTTTGCCTTTACAAAATTATATGAATGAGAGATTTCAGGTATCCCGTTCAGAACTATCTGAACTCAGAGAGGTTGTCCCTCTTCTACATGATGATATCATGCATGTACACGTGGACACTCAATTGGGTACAAATCCATGGGGTTTAAAAGATGTAACAGGTGTGTGCATATTCTGAATACCTGATAATTTACTATTAATGTTTAAATTATTGTGAAGGTTCACGTGGGGCAAGAATACTTGTGCTGATATTCTGATGCTTATATTGTTATTCAGGTTGCATGGATGGCCAACATTCTCTCCTTTATGATGGAAGGAAATCTTCAGCTGATGTTTCTATTAATGAAGGGGTAAGTTTGCTCATCCACATAATCTCCAAATTATTTGTTTTGTGTTCTGGTCTCCTGATTTATATTCTATTTTTCTTATTGAGGTTTTATTTATAAATACTTTTGTTTCGATATAACTTTTAAAATGAGCTAGTTATGTGATTCTAGAGTTGCTTGGGACTTGATTATGGTGAGATACCCTGTTTTGTAGGAAACGACATGAACTTTAAAAAAAAAAAGAACTCTAAAAATATGACCTATGATAAAAAAAAAGTGTGGAAAAAGGGAATCCATGTGGCCGACCCCATTTATAGTAGATAAAGGCAAGGATGATGAAGATATGAACTTTTAAAAGAACTAAATAAAAAATTGACATTATTTCTTAATTTTTTAATTGAGGTAGCTAATGGGGAAAGTGATTCACTAGAGGAAGAACATAGGTTTTAGTACTCGTCCAACAAGAGGCTGTTTCCTTCAAACATTTGTTACCTCATTGCCTTTCAGGAAGAAATTGATGTTATCCAGGTTATGAACCAGCCATATTCTAACGTGAGCTCCATTAGCCTACAAACTCTGTTTTTTTTTTTTGATAAGTAGTATATGACATAGACGGCGTTCAAACGGGGAACGCAGCCCGAGAAACAAAAGGAGCCAAATAGGGCCCTCAATCTCTCAATATGTCCAAAAACTCAACTATCTCCTTTAAGAATTTACAATTTCTCCCAGCAACCCAACGAAAAGGAGAGCTAAGGATAGAAAATATGAACACCCCAAAAGGACTCTCCACAACCTCAAAGGATCTCCTATTGCATTCTCCAAAAGACACGGGCTTGAGAGCCCACAAAACCACCTTGCCAAGCCTCAATCAGCCCTAACGCAGTTCGAGGCATAACCCAGTGAACCCCGAACAAAGACAAAATCAAACCCCAACTGTCCCTAGCAACCGGGCAATGAAGCAAAACATGATCATCTGTATCTTCATCTGCCTTACACATGCAACATGAGTTGACGACGATCTGTCTCCTCCTCAAATTATCACAGGTCAGAATTTTCCCCAGCACTGCCGTCCAACAAAAGCATGCCACCTTAAGAGGGGCCTTGGTGCGCCACACAGCCTTCCAAGGAAAAGCATCCCTGAATCAGAAAGCTTCCCAAAGAAGGAGCAAACATCAAACCTACCCTGAGGAGAAGGGATCCATACCAGAGAATCAGCCTTCCCCACTGTAACCTCCTGGCGGTACAAAACAGAAACCAGCTCAAAAATGTCTCCAAGCTCCCAGTCCTGGAAAGGCCTCACAAATCGCACATCCCAGGTCAACCTCCCACCATCAAGGTGATAGCAGTTAGCAAACAAGGCATGTCTATCCAAGGGGATCCTAAACAGCCTGGGAAAAGTACATGCTAGTTTACAAACCCCACACCAACAGTCCTCCCAAAAAACAGATGAAAGTGCCCCCTCAGAGCTTGTATCTAATATGTTTAGAAAATCCGTCCCACACCTTCCTGATGAATTTCCAAACACCCACCCCACCTGGGCTCCTTGAGTCAAAGGAACACCACCCACCCCCTCTCCTCCCCGAATCTCTGGAAGATGACTCTCCTCCATAGTCTCTCTCTCCACACCAAATCTCCAAAGCCACTTCCCCAAGAGAGCCTTATTAAAAGGCTCCAGTCTTCTGATTTTCAAGAGGCAACAATAGGCAGTTACAACACTTATGTGTTGGTTCAAATATGTGCTTCTTTTGCAATGTCGAGATTTATGTTTTGATGTCTTTTAGACAAACTTTATTTTTGCATTGAACATCACTGGATATAAAAAAAGTTCATTTAAAATTAAGTCTGAAAATTTTAAATAAAACCATTTTTTTGATTCAACCGTGATTCATAAAATTTGAGTTCGTTTTTATATTAGTGTTGCTTGTGGGGTGGTATCATGTTGTAGAAGTTTATGAAAATTTACTCAAGTTATGAAAAATTGATTTTGATCGGATTGAACAAAGTTATTTGCAGGCTGTATTTCTCTCTTCATTTAGTCGTTTTACCTGTTGCAAATGCTCAAGTGCGACATTAAATGCTCTGAGGTGGTTTACAGCTAATAGTAGGCCAAGTAACCCAAGGGTTTGGGATAGATTACACTAAAGAAAGTATGTGGTGGATGGTGGGTGCCCTCAATATTACATATATCAATCTTCTTCTAGAGTATGTTTAACTAGTGCTGTGTTGGAATTTGGTGTTGAAATTTTTGTGAACAGGTTTGCTTTATGGAAAAAGGAATATTAATAATAATAAAAAAGGGTGAAGAATTTTACAATGAGTTTCCCAGTTGAGATTGAAATATTTTCAAGTTACATGGACATGGTTTGTTGCCTGGCTCCTTCTCCAGTATTCCCCTGGCCTTTTTTTGGAGTGCATTGGGTGGAGACAACCATTTAAAGAGCTTTTTTAAAACATTTAAGTTTGATGGATGTTGCACCTAGCTTTTGCTTAAATATACATGTTTACGGAATTGACCTTTCGGAGAATCTCTTAGTACAGGCCTTTGTAACCTAAGATTGGACATTTGTTTCAGAATGTTTTCTATTGGTTCGTTTAGTTGGTCCTTGTGCATTCTACTGATGTATTTCCACTTGTTCTCCATTTTGAAAGACATGTTGCATTGAAGGTTGCATTTTTGTGGACACAGAATGACCTTTCTCTGTGGTATGTTTTTTTTTTTTTTTTTCTGAGTTGTAGGCCATGAGCCATAGGCAAGTCACATTTTGACACAAGGTTGGGAATGCAAGGCAATGTGAACTGAGGATACAAAGCCTTGATGGAAACCTAAACTGTGCCTTCATAGTTCAAGCATCATAGCCATTGGCTTTAGTGTCTTGTTTTGAACCAAAGATTTATTGGCTTAGTGTCTTCTTTTTCACTCTAACGGACTTACTAGCCCCAGAGCGGAATGAAAACATATGATTCATGCAACGGACCCCAAATAGTTGGGAAAAAGCTTTGGGTGGTGATGGTTGTAGGCTCATAGCCTCGATGGTGATGGTGGTTACCCACCTGGCCTAATGCCCTAAATATCAAGCACAGTTCTTGGTTGGGTCGGTTTCACCCAAATTTTTTGTGGCCTACCTATGTTAAATGTTCTCTTCTTTTGAGCCCGTTTGGCCTTGTTGTTTCAGCCAAAGCTGAAAACTGTTGTAAATATTTGACTCATTTATATAAAACTCGCTTAACCTTCCAAAGAAAAAAATAAGAAGATTAACAATGGGATTTTAGAGGCAATATGGAGGTGGTGATATGACCATGACTTTTGAGTCACTTTCATATTTTAAGTCTGTTAGAAGTTGAAAATATATTATTTTGGCTTAAAAAATTGTTTCTGGTCATTTTATACTATGAAAATCTGAGCGCTTGTATTTTTAGTTCTGGTTATGTTTGTGATATTTTTGTAGTAATGGGTTCAATAGATTCCTCTCATAACCCGAGTCATGACGGTTGAATCGAGAGATTAATTAAAAGATTTATTTGACTTTTCACAAATATCAAAATCTATTGGAGTAGTTAATAAATAGAGAGCCCGTGCTCTTATCATGGGAAGACTCTTGGTATCACTATTCTTATTGTATGGGTCTGTATATAAAGGAAAAATTTTCACTAATTCTGCCAAATAGATAGGGTGATTGATTTGGTACGGTGGTATAACTCAAACGGACAAGTATGTGATGAACACTGGTTCAATGTTGAAACATTCCCAATGAGAGAAACCAAACTTTTTTCACTAGTTTAAGTAATAAAGACAAACCTTAGGACAGGTCATGGTAATTTACCCAATACATAAAGATTTGAGCTTCTATATATATATATCTTTGGGTAAAAGTAAATTGTATAAATGAAGCATACTGTACAAAGATTTGAGCCATGGACTCATCATCAAAAGGAGAAGGTCATCTCAATGCAAATGAAAGAAGAGCTTTCTTGTCTGTTTATGGCTCTCACTAATGACAAGACCCGAGAAAATGAAGCAACAGTCTACAGATGATGAAGCTGACTCAAACGCCGATGAAATCCAAGACTTGATGGCTAAATGTGAGAGTGGCTTTGAAGTGCCCAAGGAAAGGAAGTGAAAACCTATAAATTTATTTATTTATTTTGTGTAAAATATGGTTTTATAAATTAGATGGTTTTGGTCTATTTAACATTTGGTAAATTAATTTAATGAAAGTAGTTCAATTACAACATTTTGTAATTTATTAATACACTTCTATCGGTTTATTTTCTCAATTTGAAGATCTATATTTAAATGATTCACCAAGTGTCAATGGTTCACGATGATCTAAATTTTTCTTGACAAGTCACGATAAATCTCACCTCTACATGCCTCTCACATTATGTGCACGATAATAGCATGGCTGCGTATCACAAACCTACATCATTCAATGACAGCAGAAAACATGATACAAGAATTCAGCGACATGTGGATCATTACAATATTGATTTACAAAGAAGAGGTCTTGGGAGTTAACAAGCCTAAACTCCAATAGAGCTGTCGCTAGTTACAAAATTAACAAAAGCCTGCAATTTGAATAATGGTATATGAATCCAAGGGTGGGCTCAAGTGGTATGTCACTGCCAGTGGGCTCCTCGCGAAGTATTAGATATAAGATTGGACTGTTTTGGAGCGCAAACAATTTCTTCAAAAGATCATTGATAATATTTTAAAAAGATAATTTGCTCGGTGTCAGCCAATTGTGTTATAAAGGAAATCTTGTATGCCTTGATAAGTATGGCCGCAAAATCATTGATGAATATATACACCATTAGTGATGGACACACTAGCATTCGAGATAGTAAATTATATAATATTATTAATTGATAACTGCACGTAATGACTTGGTAAGAGCATCCGCACGAGCCTCTCTGAATTTTGGCTCTCTAAAAACTCCACATCAGCTTTTCCAAGGGCTACATCAGCAATTTCAAGAGCCACGTCAACAGTTTTTGCTCTCCAAAAACATGCACTCCATCAGGCTCTCCGAATTTTCGCTCTCAAAAAAATAATAATAATAATAAATTATTTTTTTTTTTTATTTTTTTTTTAACTTTTCCTAAACGGCTGTATTTTTAAAAATTGAATTTTTAACGGCTATATTTGTAATGGCTATATTTGCAACGGCTATATTTTCTCAACGGTAATATTTTTCAATCAAACAATATTTTTAGAAATTATTTAAAAAATTACGATTGATATTAGAACTTGAAACAATACATTATCCATTATGGATTAAAAAAAAAAAATTAAACAACACAATTAAAAATAACTTAAACAATACAATATCCTAAATTGGAATAAGAAAATTAATAGACCAAGGATTACAAAATCCTATGGGAACTTTGGGGCGGACCGTGAATTTAAAGATGCCAATATCTCATTTTGTCGTGCAATAATCCAAGCTTTCCCCGCTTCTGTTGGTGCCGAATTTGGATCTGTTAACATGAGTTCCTTCTCTTCAAGTCTCTATTTCTCTAGAATCTCTAACTGTCTTGTTTTTTCTTTCTCCATTTTTCTTACCTCTCGTGCCACTTGGGCATCCTGCATTTTCTCCTGACGACTCTCAAAACGGGTGGTGATATTATTAAATTTCGAAACGAATGAAGTTTGCAATTCATTCGTTGAATTAATTTTTGCTCGACGTTGTTTCACCGCTTTTTTTCCTGCTGGTCTTTGTAGTTGATATTCTTCCACACTGGGTGAATCATTTTCCCCTATGTGTGGTGATTCTTCAGTTGAAGCTCCATCTGTCGTGGCTGCATGACTTGACGGAGTAGATGGTAATGAGTGCCCAACAGACTCATTACTGTCAAACTCAAATCCAATCCTCTTCTTCGGCTCTTTTTTCTTTTTTCCTTTTCCTACTTGTTCGGCACAATGTGAATTCTATTTATTGTTATGCTTCAAGATCTCCCAGCAACTTTCTAACTTAAATTCACCGCCTGTTTGGCTACGAAACAGGTTTTTAGCTGCTATCATCTACACGAAAAAATTAACAAAAAATTAAAAATCGACTATTTAAAATATTTACGAGTTATATTTAAATAATAAATAACTCACCATATCATCACTGCTAAAGCCGCTGGGACGATTCATTTCTATGGTAGTCATGCAGCCGGAAAATTTACTGATTTTTTGTTGGATCACCGACCAACGATTCATCAAACCTCCATCATTTCGCTCAGTTGGAACACCAATATGTTGTTTAAATTGTTCCAGAATTCGCTCCCATAGCTTCTTCTTACTTTGGTCTGCCTCCGTAATCGCATCAGAGGTAATGGACAACCACGCCCAACATAGAACTTCATCTTCAGCCTTGGTCCAATTATTATGTCGGATAGCTGGTTGTTTTGACAGGGGTTTTGAGTTACTTGATTGTGGAACACTAGTACCACAATATTGATGAGAAGTTTGGGATGGTTGATAAGATGGTTGGGATAGTTGATGAGAAGGAAATTGAGAATCTCCTCCATAATAATTGATATTCTCTTCAGGAAATGGTAAAAACTTATCGTTTGATGGGTTGAATTGGGTGTTGTAATAATATGGATGTCGAGGATCCATGGAATCGAAATGACTTTGAAAATAATAGCTAAGATTGAGAAAATAGAAGAAGAAATAAGTTGAATGGTAGATAATAGAGATGTGATGAGTGATGGTAGGAGTTAAGGTATTTATAGAGATTTTAAAAATTTTAATTAAATTTTTTTTTTTTGAATAAAGTTAAAAAATTTGAATTTTTAAACTTTTTTTTAAAATTATAGCCGTTAAGGCACTGTTTGGTACTGTAGAAACAGTGCCTTAACGGCTAAATACACTATTTGACCTACACATTTAAAATTTAAAACAAAAAATTTAAAAAAAAACCAAATTTTAAGGGAAAAAACAAAAAAAAAAATGTTTTTTAATTTATTTTTGGCCCAATTTTTTTTTTTTTTTAGACAAACAATGCCTAAACAATATATTTTTTATTTAATGAATTTTATTTTATTTTTTTCCCAAAAAAAAGCTCTAAATAACCTATTTTTAGGTTTTTTTTTGTTAAAAATATCTGCCTAAGGCACTGTTTGGCTACTGTATATAGCTGTTGCAAGAAGACTCAAAGAGGCAGTGAAACGGCGTCGTTTTCTGAACATAAAAAAAAAAAAAAAAAAAAAAAATACCACGATCGCGGGTCGGCTACCACGATCGCGGGCCGGCTCGCTGAATACCGCGAGCCGACCCGCGAGCAAAATTGGGCCCACACGTTTTAGCTAGGGCGCTGTGCGCCCATTTGGCCTTTGGCTCGCAGAAATTGGGCTTCCGCGAGCCTGCTGCGGACGCTCTAATATATGATTCACAATTTACCACAAGGAAGATGATAATAGTCCAATACTCATATATAAAAAAATTAAACGAGTTAAACGAGTTATAAAAATAAATTAATAAGTCAAACACAACAAGATTAATTATCATATCAATTTTGATCAACACGATTTATTTAAACTCAAATTTAAGTAGTGTTGGAATTGTACTAGGTTTCGTTTGTTTTGACGTAAAATATTCTTTTTAAAAAATATATATTTTTTTCAGATGGCAAAAGTTTACGTTGAGGTTGAGGTCGAGTCCATCGAGTGGGATATGTAAAATAATTTGTCAAAAATTGATGAATAAGTTATTTTTATTAAGTTTTAATATATATATTTTTATTCCTAAATATTTTATCACAATCAAATACCAAAAAATAAAAAACTATTTTTTAAAAAATATTTTACGTAATATTAATGTCAAATATTGTGGTCTAAGTTTTCAACTCCTATAATTTCACTTGGCATTCGGCTTGCTCACTTTTTTGGGGCCTTTTTCTCAAACACCACTGCTACCTGCATTTTTAAAATTCAAGTAATGAATGTATCTTCTCCCGATATCAGTTAAAACGATACCTGAAGCTGATATTTTGAATGTGATGATTCCCCGCCAATTTCAAATCCTCTGCCAACGGTCAAAAACAACCAACCATCTACTCCAACTTCACTCTCTGATCCTAAAAACAGCCCTTAATTATGACCATTACTTCATATCTCAGTTCATGTTATCTGCATGTTCAGTTTCAATCGAATTCGCAAGGTCAATCTTCGACAGCTCACCAGTAACTCCACCGCTCTTTGTATGGAGTACAATAATCAGAGAATACTCAAAGAGCTCGATGCCAATTGAATCAGTTAAATTGTTCTCCAAACTTCAGAGGATTGGGCATAAACCTGACAAATATACATACCCTTTTGTCATTAAAGCTTGCGGTCGCTGTTCACTGGTTCAAGTAGGCGGGGCAGTGCATTCACTGATTTTAAAGACGGGTTTTGATTGGGATCGATATGTAGATAATACCCTTTTGAGGATGTATGGGGCATTCCATGCAATTGATTCTGCCAGGCAGGTGTTCGATGAAATGACTGACAGAGATGTTGTTTCTTGGAGTTCAATGATTGCGGGATACGTCGCTTGGTATGCTTCTTGTTTTATCCAACTAGTACTTCTTCTTCTTCTTCTTCTTCATTTTTTTTTTTTTTTTTTATCAGTAACAAGAGCCAAGTTCTACCGATAGGTTTGGGTGTCTCTGGATCAAGGTTCCAAGACTCAGCAAGTTGAAGTATAGACACAAACACAGGCTAAACGATTTCTAAAAAGTAGGACATGTACACTATATATAAATAAAGAAACTATAGAACTTTAATTAAATTTTGATTTCTATACTAGGAGTTACATAATTTAGAAGACGATGCTCTGTGAATATCGTAAAGTTTAGTAAACTATACATATTAATTCTTTCCTACTTTGTTGTTATAATTATATCTTTGTCCAATATATATGAAAACATGTCATCACATGCTTAACTTGCATGAACATTTGTATAATGTCAAATTTTCTTTAGAAGAAAAAGTTGGACGCTTTGAGGCTTGTGCATGTTTTTTCCAAGATTGTGTGACATGGCTACTCTTTGATGCGCTTGTGTTATATAAGACTTGTGTTGGTGAGTGTCTAGGATTTGTCAGTGAAGTGTGTGGGATGTGCTGGCCAAGTGCCAGGGAGGCGTTGACCAAATGTTCAAAACAATGAAATTTATTTTTAAATCAAGGACACTTCCAAGAAGTGTGTAGGAATATCCATGAAGTGTTGGTGTCTGGAATGTGTATGATACAGACACAACACCTTCATAGAATTGTCCGTGTTTCTTTGGTAGAAGTATTGGCTTGTAATGGAATTGACTAGGCTAAATACCGAGTAATTCACACGGGACGTGGGAGGAAATGCCGCCATATTGGCTGATATGGAGTCTGATACAGAAAATGTTAATCACAAACTCTATGATATAGAAAATGACGATCATGAAGTTTGACCAATGACATTAATCAGTCATAGTATGGATGGATCCCATTTGTAATTGTAGTTTATTTTATTGATGTGGCTTATAAGATGTTTTGCGTTTGTCCTTTGCGACTATGTGGAGTGAGGCTCAACGAATACACCTTAAATTGAAGTATTAGAAACTTAACTCATCTCAAGTTCATAATGTGTGACTTACTAAGAGGTCATAAGGTACATATTTCATGCCTCAAAACCAATGTGTGACATAACAGGAAGTTGTAAGGCACATATTCCATACCTAAGAGGAAATTATATTTGAATATGTATACTATATAGTATACCTAATATTAACCACATATAGGTGCTTTGTTCAGATTTGAAATTTATATGGACTTCATTGAGCAGATTTAATGTTCTAAAAAAGTCTTTCGGACTTTGTTGCTCACTAAAGTCTAGCATTATTTGTATTTGGAAAAGTTTAGAGCCAGTAGCCTACAATTTTTAATAAAGCTTTGTTTTTGAATGTTGTGAGACGGCTAATTTTATTAAAATTTCTTGTTCTTTATGCTGAAATTTGAATTTCATTATGTTTTTATAACCCGAAGCCCAGAAACAATAAACTAATAAGTTGTTCTTTTAATTTAGATCGGTCAATAATTAGTTGATATGTTTATTCATCTTGAAGATATTACATTTTTTTTTTTATCACCCTTGCTTTTTTAAAAAGGATCATCTGCATTAATTGCATAGTGGTTATTCTCAGGATTCAAACTTGATTTCTCACGCTGGACAGCATGAGCTTTTCCCATACTGAGCATTGCCCCATCTTATGTTTTTCATTTTTATTTTCTTTTATCTATTCATTTATTTTTGTAAATTGTGAAAATATTTTGGTACCAATGGCTAAGTCTAGATGCTAACATTTTCTAGTAGAATTACATAAAGTTCAAGCTCTGTTTCTCAACTTCAACAACTATTACATGTGGCAGCAAAGATATTTTTATGATTTAACTTCAAGTATTTATGAGAGATTCTTTCATAGATACTTGCATGTTTCCACCTAGGAAGTTTTACCCCATTCCTAGGGTTAAAAGTTAAATTAAATTACGAACTTGATTCTGGTAGTTTCTTTTAAAATGTGCATATAGACTAATGTTGGCACTGAGCAATGTCAACTCCTATTTCATGTTATTTTGAAAATTCTTTTACCATTTTTTTTTTACATTCATACAGTAATTGTCCGTTGGATGCGTTGATGGCATTCCAAGAAATGAAGCTAGAAAATGAAAAGCCAAATTCTGTCACTTTGGTTAGCTTACTTTCTGCTTGTACTCATTTGCTCAATATCAGAATTGGGAAGTCCATTCATTCATATGTTCTCGTTAACAACATTGGATTGGATGTTGTTCTGGGAACAGCTCTTCTAGAAATATATGCAAAGTGTGGGCACATTGCGGAAGCATTCTACATTTTCAACTCTATGAGGGAAAAAAATTTGCAGTCCTGGACGGTTATGATTTCCGGCCTGGCAGATCATGGCCATGTAGGTGAAGCCATATCCTTGTTTACCAAAATGGAACAAACTGGCCTGAAACCTGACAGTGTATCTTTTTCTGCTATCTTGAGTGCTTGTAGCCACTTAGGTCTTGTTGATGAAGGACAAAAGTATTTTGAAAAGATGTTCAGGATATACAATATCATGCCAACAATGGAGCATTACGGATGCATGGTGGACATGTTTGGACGATCTGGGATGATTGAAGAAGCTTATCAAATTATCAGGAACATGCCAATGAAACCTAACCCCGTTATTTTAAGAAGCTTCATGAGTGCATGTAATAATCATGGCGTCGTTCATGATTTAGATGAAAATATGAGAAAACTTTTGCTGGAAATAGAGCCTGACCTTGGAGCAAATTATGTACTTGTTGCCAATGTGTCTTCCCTGTCTGGTTATTGGAATGATGCCGATGAACTGAGAGTTGCCATGAAAGACAAAGGTTTGAAGAAAGTTCCTGGGTGCAGTTGGGTGGGTGGTTCCAAAAAGGATATGATTAAAGAGGCTGTAAGATAATCTTTTAGTTTAGGTGACTAAAGAATCACTCTTTCTTAAAGTTGTCCTGGGTTATGCTAGAAAAAGAAACCAATTTTTTTAAAAGCGACAGCTGGATTTGGATCATTGGTGATGGTACTAGGACAAGGAATGGACCGGAAGAGGGATGAATGAATAGGAAATCAAAAGCTTGCACTGTGTTGTGGGTGGAATGCTTGAACTTGCAGGGAGTTAATCTTTTCTTATGGAAGCCACTTGAATGGGACTATCTGAAATTTTGCTAGATATTCAAGTTCATCTTCCCCTCAGAAAATGTACCAGCATGTGAAGCAGCATTTTCTTCAATATGCAGAACGTGAATTTAAGCGACTTCAGTTTCTGGTGGCACAATTTTCAATATCCAAACAGCAGCTAGTTTATGTTTGTAATGGTCACCAAAAATCAGTTACAGGTACTTCTTTTTCTGATCCACATTCAAGTCTTAGACAGAGGCCTTTAAATGACAAAAAAATATCAGTGAAACTCTACGCCTTGAAAAGTTTTTCTAACATGATCCTGGCTCATCCAAAGGGTCGAATCATGTAAGTGATGAATTCAATGTAACCTATTACTCAAAGGTGCCTTTTGCACTCAGTTTCATATTTCATATTGTTTATTCCATTATTTTGCCCAATGGAAAGAAGACAAGTGGCGAGTTTTGACAAGCTTGCCATATTAATTTAGTATTCCAAGAATATGAGGATGTGACGTGGAATTGTTAAGGTAAATTATTAATAGAAAGAAGTAACATGGCAAGTTTTAGTGGAACTTGCCATGTTAGAGTAAGATATTAATAAATATTCCTTTGGAATATTAATTCTACGGGAAATTAAAAGGAGTGGTGAGTCCCACTAGGACTTACCAAACTTAGGATATAAAGTCCTAAAAGAACGAGAAGATTGCATGAAGATATTACCATGAGTGCAACTTCATGAGAAGGCTAAAGTCAAAGATTCAAACAACCAATAGTTTATTGACACATGGCGAGTTTTATTAGACTTGCCACGGTAGATTAATTCTGTTTGAATTTATTTGGAAGATCCTATTAATATAGGATACCAATTAAATGGGAATTTTCCATTTTTAGAACAAAGTTGACCAAGTTACAAGAGGGAATGTGGAGGCAATATTTTCTCCTTATTTTTAAGAGACATCAGCAACTGCTCAAGCCATGTCAACCTTTTTGCTAAAATTTAGCAGAACGTGGGAATTCAGTTTATTTATTTAAATATATATATATAAGTATATATATATATATATATTTAACCCACGATGGAGTAATTTTCGTGAGCTCATGATGCCCTGAATTCTAAAGAGGCGAGATTGAAGAGAGATTGCTAGAATTTGGGAAGTGCATCACAACCATGATGCCATGAAGCAAATATGGAGGTTTTAGCCTGAAGTCAAGGAAAGCGTGGTCTGTTGAAGGAAAGAGAATAGATTGGATAAACTACCCATGATGAAGAAGTTGCTAAGGTTAAGGAGATCATGGCGACATGAACTCTAAAGCCTAAAAGGAAAGTCTCAAGATTGAAATTACTAAAATCCAAGGGAATGTGGTTGGCAGAAGATCGTGGGCAATGATGTATATTCCTGGATATAGATATATATATATCTTGCCTATGAAGAGAAATATCGCTGAAGTTTGGAGCCACAACATCATGATACAAAGACCAGAATGGAAAGCTCAACTAGAAGGAAGTTACCCAAAGCTAGGAGAACGTGGTCTACAAAAAACTTCCTTATATGTGCATGATATATATTCGTAAGGAGGGTTCTAACAGAAGCGAAAGACTACTAGAAGTCATGGGACACTTGGCTAAACAAGGAATATATCGGTTGAAAGTGGTGGAAACTTATAAGGAAACTACCACTAACCAAGGGAAGTTATTAAGGGTCATGGGTGACAGGGCAGCAGTTGGTGAAATCGTGTCTGAAGTTAAGGAAAGGAGTTGACGGCGTGAGGAAGAAGAATAAAATCATGGGACACTTGCCAAGTCTCAAAGAGAACACGTGGGAATTCATTCTGAAACTACCTATGAAGCAAATTCGTTGAAGACTAGAGAGGACGTGGTTGAAGTCTACAACAGAAAATGGATAAGATGGAAGAAGTTACAACCGCTGAGGAATCATGGGACATGTGGCAGTCCGGAACCATTCCACGTGGAAGCTGTTGAAGTTGCCACGCCTAGTTAATGCATGCATGAAGCTCTATAAATAGAACATTTAGAGCTAGTTTGCAAACCCTATTCAAATCACACATCAAAACAACACTTGCAATTCCTTACATTCATGTATCTTTACATTCATGTAATGCAATTTCATTATGTTTAATTCAAGTCCTGCACTTATCTTTCTTACTTTCCAAGTCCTGCACTTCAATTCCTTTACTTTGAAGTCCTGCACTTTCAATACCGCTTTCGTTTCCACTAGCCATAGTTCAGTTCAAAAGTCCTTTTTCAAGGCAAAACGAACCCTTGAAGGTGGTAATTCCAGTCCTTCATTCAATTGCCTAATCCCTGCAATTTCCTACTGGATAGTTGTTTGGATATCTACTTTGGAATGACAGCAGTTCCTGGTAAGCCCGATATCCACTCTTACTTTCCACTCACTTGGAAAGTGAAACTAGTGCTTTTTCGCGAGCTGAACATTTCTTGGCACGCCCAGCGGGACATCTAGACAGATTGTTCAATGGCCGGTGGAAGAAGGCAAGGCAAGTCTATCCAAGACCCTGCCGAACTAGAAGAGATGCAAGTCAGTGAACTTCCAGTGGAAAGTTCACGATTCGCACCTGATGAAAATGATATGGTGGAAAAATTTGCTCAAACAGTGGCAAATGGACCCATCATGGACAACATCCGCATGATGGCAATGCAACAAGATAGGTTTGCGCAAGACCAAGCTAGAGTCGCCCAAGACTTAGCCAGAGTTGCGCAAGACCAATCTAAGGCTAGTCAAGAACATGTAAAAGCCGCTCTTGCTAATGAACGGAAATTAGAAGAGATGGTGGACCGAATCTCTCAAAGGTTTGAGTCTATGTTGGAAAGGTTCTTTGGAGGTTTGTCTCAAATTTTGGCCCCTCGGCCAAGCAACTCTGAAGGGTCTCAACAGTCGGCCTTCCAAGCGAGTAGGCCGGCCACGTTTGTTGAAGGAAGTTCCTCTCAGCAACATGCAGGACCGTTCCCTCCAACTCAGTAGCAGGTGCAGTCCCTTCCAATGGCACAGACTTATATACCAGTTGCACCTGTGACTGCTCCAGTGACACAGATGACTGTTCCACAAGCGGCGCCCATGCCAACCATTCAACAAGTTCAAAATCCTTCACCTGTAGCATTTCCACAGCAGACTTGGCATGATAAGCCTAGCCAACCATGGCCATACCACAACCCTCAAGCACAACAAAATGTTCCACCTGTGAACATTCAGCCAGCCGCACCTGTTCCAGCAAGGCCACCACCTATGGTCATTCCTATGCGGTTGGGGGGCAACCTTTTCCAAAGGAGCCACTTCTTGACCAAGGAGGAAGGAACTATGGCAGAAACAACTATGCAGATGCCAACCCTTTGCTTATGGCGGGTGGGGGGCATCAAGTGGCCAATTAACATCAAGGTTGGCCAGACAACAACCCTTCACAACCTATGGTGCTTGATAGAGGCCAATTTGCAGAATTCATTCAATAGGAATTTGGCCTAACTCGAAGGGGTGGAAGGCCAACTTACAGAAAGCCATATCCAGAGTTTATTGATGAAGTTGAATTTCCAAGGAATTTCAGAATTTCAGAGTTTGCAACGTTCAATGGAGAGGGCGAACAATCTACCTTGGAACATATCAGTCGGTTCACTGTCCAATGTGGAAAAGCAGCAGCCAATCCATGGCTGAAAGTACGCTTGTTTCCAAACACACTGACGGGATATGCTTTCAGGTGGTATTCCAACTTGCCAGCCAACTCCATTCAAAGTTGGCAACAATTTGAGGATTTATTCCATACTCAGTTCTACAGAGCTGAGCTTGAAGTGTCCATGGCAGACCTTTCTAGACTTTATCAACTACCTGGAGAGTTTGTGATGAGCTTCCTTTCTAGATTCAGGCGGGCCAAGTTTAAATCTAACTTGTCTTTGCCGCCGGAAGAATATGTGAAGATGGTTGTGAACGGCCTAGAATTTGAACTTCGTAAGAAGTTTAAACGTGTATAGTTCCATGACTTGTTCGACTTGGCTAGCAAAGTGGCTAAGTATGAAGAGCTCCTTCGTGAGGAGCAAGATAGGAAGAACTCTTCCAAGGGCACTTACTATCGTGATCTTAACTATGAGGTGTATACCACTGAAACTGAAGGGGAGTTTGAAGTAAATGTAGCCGAGCTCAACATAAAGAAGGCATATACTTGTGAGGCCTTGACAAAACCAAAATCAGCCACGGCCAACTTGTAGGCCGCCTTTGGTTCCAAGTGGAAGGGTGTAGACACTTCTAGAAGTTACTTTTTTGACATTTCTAAAGCCGAGCAAATCTTTGATTTGCTCATGGCTGACAAGCAACTGACTTTCACAGCGGGCCATAAGATGCCGTCGGTTTCAGAAATGGCCGAGAAGGAGTATTGCAAGTTCCACAACTCGTGGAAGCATTCCACTAATAATTGTGTTATCTTCTGCAACATTGTGCAAAAGGCAATCGAAGATGGCCGCTTGAAGTTTTCAGAAAAATCAGAAGTTATGGTTGTTGATGGAAATCCTTTCCCCAAGGTTGTTGCAACAAACGTTGCTTCTATGGTTCCGGAGCATTCCAAAAAGGAGGTGGACTTGGTAAATCCAGCGACTAGTGGAAAGTTGGAAATTCCAAAGGCGGCAACATTTATGGAGAAGACAGTAACTGAGTTGGAGAGGCAACTCTGAGAGGCCCAGATTTCTTTAATCCAACAAGGTTGTTGCCCCAAGTGTAAAGTTCAAAATAAAGGTTGCTGTAAAGACTTTCCAAAAGAGAAACAGAATGAAAAGCCCTCTAATAGTGACCGGGGTTAGAAAAGGAAAGTCCATGACCGGCTAACTTTCCAAAAAGTGGAAAACACAGTTACTGTAACCATTCCAGAGAAGGAAAGCCGGGTTCATCCAGAAAGAAAGGCAGCAGAGAGGAAATCTGAAATCCTTCCAAAGAGTTTGGAAAGGAGTCGAATTTCCTATCAGCCAGGTTCTCGTCCTCGCAGAAAGTTTGAAAGTAGTAGATGGCAAAACAGAGGTTCTGAAGGAGACAGGCATTCTAGGTCAAAAATCGGAAGTATGGGTTAGAAGGGGGAGTGAGCATCTCCGACAAAGAATGGTTAGACCTCCTACCTATCAAGATGAGGGATGGAGAAGGCTTGATCATCCCAAGTTTCCCATTCATGATGACTCTTATATGACTCGCACACAAAAGCGAAGGCAGCAAAGGAAGAGGGCTGATAGAAGAAGGTTATGGGAGAAAGACCATGGCTGGTCCAGCTAGCCAAAGAAGACTATTAAGCCATCAGACTTATCAGAACTTCCAGCTAGAGGAAAAGAGAGAGATCCTGATGATTTGTTAGATCTTGATTCAGAGGTTGGAAATTCCTTGACTACAGACAATCCTCCTACGAAAGATAAAACAGATTTGGAAATTCCCAGCAGTTCCAGTAGCAGCAAGAAAATATGTTTTGGGAGCCTTCCAGGTGAATTTACTTGTAATATGGTAATGGTTCTTCCTTTATTTTTTGAGCCTCAACCAAATCATCCCAATTCAATGGAAGGAGATGTAGTAGATACAAGTCCACCCATGGAAAGTCTTGGACAGTCTAGTTCTGGGCTAACCGTTATGGAACCAAATAATGGTATTCATATAGAGGAGGTTTTTGAAGATGAAGTTAAGCATCTCTAGAAATTAAAGGGGGTTGTGATTGAAGAGAACAGCCCTACGAGGCCAAAGAAAATTGTGTTGGAAAAGCCACCATATGGCATGACTCAGCAGCTCAAACCTTTGTACATCAAGGTGCTAGTGGAAGGGAGGCCCTTGGCAAGAGTACTGGTGGACAATGGTTCGGTGTTGAATGTTGTTCCAGTCAATGTTATGCGTATGCTTGGAAAGTCTCCTGAAGATATCATTCCAACTGAGGAATAGTGAAGACGCAAGGAATCCTACCGTTGGAGTTAACGGTGGGAGATAGAACTTCCATCATAGCCTTCTTTGTTATTGAGTCTACAACGGCTTATAATTTGCTCTTAGGCCGCGAATGGATTCACCCAAATTTTTGCATTCCATCTTCGCTCCATTAAATGCAAATATTTTGGGATGGAGATGAGGTAAAAGTGGTGGAAGCTGATAGCCGGCCATTTGTGGCAAGGGTTTACCATGCAGATGCTGAGTTGTATAGTGAAGAATTCGTTCCAATCAGATTTATTGGAAATGATAGCAAGGGCCGTCCAAGGAAGGCCACCATGAGAAGGACTCTTACGGAAGAAGATGTAAGGGAGCTTTTCCAAGAAACACCAAGGCCAACAATTCTACCCAAGGCCGGTGTTCAGCAATACATCTCAAATAAAAGTTTTTATGGAAGAGAAACCTAAAGAAAATAGAATACTAGGCCAGGCGGTTAACTGCTACCTTGCCAGGTTGAAAGCATATCCAGTCGAACTATGGTTGGAAAGGGCTGCTGTTGCTGGTACTTCATTTTCAACCAATGTTTTGGAGATTATGGAAGATACTGAAGACAAGTTGGATGCTATCCAGCTGACAGACTTGAAGGTGGCGCCAACGAAGTTAGACGATCTCAAGGCTGAAGTACAAGATCCACTTTTGGAAGTTAATCTTGGGACAAAACAGGACCCTCGGCCTACTTACATCAGTAAGCTTTTGGAACTAACCTTTAGAGAAGAATTGATTTCTTTACTTGAAGAATACAAAAATTGCTTTGCATAGACCTATGAGGAAATGCCAGGTCTTTCTAGAGAGCTGGTAGAGCATAAGTTGCCAATTAAGGAAGGTTTCAAGTCTTTCAAGCAGCCTCCAAGAAGGATGTCCCAAGAAGTTGTTCTAAAGGTCAAAGAAGAGATAGAAAGGCTACACAAGGCTGGTTTTAGAAGAACCGCTAGGTATGTTGACTGGATTTCCAATATAGTTCCAGTTGTTAAGAAAAATGGCAAGCTAAGGGTATGTGTGGATTTTCGGAATATCAATCTTGCAACTCCAAAAGATGAGTATCCCATGCCTGTTGCTGACCAGTTAGTAGATTCTGCTGCCAAGAATGAAATTCTTTCATTCATGGATGGACATTCCCGGAACAACCAGATTTACATTGCAAAGGAAGATATTGCCAAGACAGCCTTCAGATGTCCAGGTTCCATTGGAACCTTTGAATGGGTTGTCATGCCATTTGGGTTGAAGAATGCCGGAGCAACATATCAAAGAGCCATGAATGCCATATTCCACGACATGATTGGCCATTTCTTGGAAGTCTACATTGATGATGTGGTCATCAAGTCCTCGGTTAAAGATCAACATCTCCACAATTTGAAGATGGCTTTTGAAAGGATGAGGCAGCACAAGTTGAAGATGAATCCTTTGAAGTGTGCTTTTGGGGTTTCAGCTGGAAATTTCCTAGGTTTTTTGGTCCACCAAAGGGGTATTGAGATAGATCAAAATAAAGCAAAGGCAATTATTGAAGCAAAGCCACCGTCCACCAAGAAAAAGTTGCAGCAATTCCTCGGCTAAGTTGGATATTTGAGGAGGTTTATTGCCAACCATGCTGGAAAGACTCATGCTTTCTCCCCATTGCTGAAATTCAAGGATGCTGAGGAATTCAAGTGGACAGAACAGCACCAGCAAGCCTTTGAAGGTTTGAAAAGCTACCTGGCCAACCCTCCAGTGCTGATGCCTCCAATCAAGAAGCGGCCTTTAAGATTATATTTATCAGCCGCCAATGAGTCCATTAGAACTCTATTAGCTCAAAACAATGAATGGGGGAAAGAGCAATCCATCTATTATCTAAGTAGGGTGCTTACTCCAGTGGAATGTAGGTACACTTCCATTGAAAAGTTGTGCCTTTTCTTATACTATGCGGCTATGAAATTAAGAACCTATATGTTGCCAGTGGCCGTATATATCATTTCTCAAACAGATTTGATTAAGTATATGCTTTCAAGGCCTTTGATCACTGGACGTATTGGAAAATGGTCATTGGCCTTAATGGAGTTTTCCTTCAAATATATTCCACAAAAGGCAGTCAAAGGAAGGGCGGTAGCAGAATTTCTAGCAGATCATCCATCCACTAAGATAGACTCAGAAATATGTGATGAGGTGGATAATCTCTACCTTGACTACACCCCTTGGACTCTCATGTTTGATGGATCAAGCACTCATAATGGAGGTGGAGCTGGAATAGTCATCATTTCTCCGAAAGGAGGGAAAACCAAATTTTCTTTCTTCTTTGATTTCAAGTGTACAAACAACTAAGCTGAGTACGAGGCACTAATTATTGGGCTAGAGATTCTGCTAGAGCTAAAGGTGGAGAAGGTCCAGATTATTGGAGATTCCAACTTGATACTTAGCCAACTATCTGAAGAATATAGATGTCTTAACTGGCATCTGAGGCCTTTCCACTCTTTGGCCTTAGAGTTACTTTGCCAGTTCGATGATTTCCAACTCAAAAATTGGCCTAGACATTTAAATACGGAGGCTGATGATCTAACACAATTAGCCTCTCGAGTGAAAGTCCCACCGGGTGTGGAAGAAGCTCTGATCACAGTTAAAAGGACTCTTCCTTCGGTAGAGTTATGGTATGAGATGGCAAGTCATTTCCAACCTGAAGAGCTAGAAAGAATCAAACCTGCCAATAAGCCATGGGAGGTTTTCAATATTGATATAGATGGATTAGATTTGAATGATTGGAGAACACCAATTATCCAATTCTTGCAGGAGCCTAGCTCCAAAGTGGACAAGAGAATTCAGCTTTTGGCACCACATTACATTCTGATTGATGGGGACCTCTACAAGAAGAGTAAAGAAGATGGACTTTTGTTAAGATGCCTCAGAAAGGATGAGTCCATGACGGTAATGGCGGAATCACACCTTGGAATATGTGGAGCACATCAAGTTGGAATCAAAATGAGGTGGCTCCTTAGAAGGTATGGTTATTATTGGAAAGGCATATTGAAAGATTGCATAGAGTTTTCCAAGACTTGTATTGCATGTCAAGAACATGGCCCAATCCAAAGAGTTCCAGCTATTAAATGCAGCCGATAGTAAAAATATAGCCATTTAGAGGGTGGGCTTTGGACTTTATTGGAAAACTAAGGCCTCCATCTTCAGATGGCCATACTCACATAGTGGTGGCAACAGATTATTTCACAAAGTGGGTGGAAGCCATTCCACTAAAGACTTGTGAGCAGTCAACGGTGATTGATTTTATCAAGAAGCACATTATACATAGGTTTGGAATTCCAGAGACTATTACCACTGATAGAGGTCTATCCTTTGTTGGAAGCAAGGTCTTGGATTATTGTGCTGAGTGTGGTGTCCAAGTGATCAGTTCTACTCTATATTTTACCTAATCAAATGGGCAGGCAGAAGCTTCCAACAAAGTAATTCTCAATATCCTTGAAAAGATGATTGATGATCATTCAAAGGAGTGGCATCATCTACTTTCTGAGGCCCTTTGGGCTTACAGGAATTCAAAAAGGTCAAGTACGGGCGTCACACCATATATGCTTACATATGGGCATGATGCCATCCTTCCAATGGAGATGACTATCAGATCTGCAAGGGTGGCTTTCCAAAATAGGCTAACTCCAGCATATTACAACCATGCCATGTTGGCAAAATTAGAAGATCTTGATGAAGTTCGTCTCAATGCCTTAGACCATATTATTGCTCAAAAGAAGAAAGTCATGCGAGCATACAACAAGAAGGTCAAGGCGAAGACATTCATTGAATGAGACTTGGTATGGCAAGTTAAATTTCCACCAGGAGTCAGAACCTTGGAGTATGGAAAATGGACTCTTAATTGGGAAGGTCCTTACTTGGTGGAACGAGTCCTTGGAAAAGGGGTTTATAGATTGATGGATATAGATGGATGGTCTCATAGGCATCCTGTGAATGGTGTGTACTTGAAAGAGTACCACCCTTCCATCTATGAAGATTGGAAAGCTACATTCATTCAACCAGCCACGTAGTGTGGCTGGTCCATTCCTTTCCAAGAAAACCAGAACATTGGAAAGGAGGAATGTTGGCCACACTTTGGTCATTCTGGTAGCTAAGGCAAAATGGAGGGAGAATTCATTTCAAGAAGGAAAAGCTAAGTATTTGGAAAAGTACATTGGCTAAAGTTATGAGGCAGACTTAGTTGAAATTCCAAGATCAGTTAATTTCCTAAGTATGGAAGTCTTCAGCGAGAAAGTGGCAACACTACATGGTCTAGGTTTTGTTCATACTAGAAATTGTTCATCTTGCTTGTATATACATGCATTTCCTGTGTGGCAATTTCTTTTATTTCTTTGAATTTCCTTTGTTATGGAAAGCCAATTATATGGCTAAGCATTATTGTAAATATATATGAAGAAATTTTCCAGTTTCAGTGACTTAGAAATTTCTTTTCCATATAAATTGTGAAGGAGGCACATGCAAAGGGTTGGGAAATAGAACGTTATCTCATTAGATACTGGATTTCATTACAAAATTCAAAAATGGCCTCCTAAACCTAGGATTGGCCATGCAAAAGTACCCATTACTTATTTCCTACCCACAAGTTTTCCAAAACAACCACACAATAGAACCACAAAGAGAATCACATGAGATCAGATAGAGGCAAGAACACCTCCAAGTTCATTCCAAATTTTCCTTGCTTCTCCAAGAACAACCACTGCTTTAACCTTTGCATCCTCAAATTTAGGAAAGGCTTCAACTCGCTTTTCCCATTCTTTCCTTAAAGGTTCTGACGCATTGACAATGGCATTAGCTGTTTGGTCCAATTCAAGTTCTTCACCTTCCACTTGTTCCAATTCCCTTTGAATTTTGGCCAGTTCTTCATTCAGTTCTTCTTTCTTGATCATAAGCTTTTCAGCCCGATCCTTGATTTCTGGGTAGAATTCTAAGGAGAGTTGGAAATCCTCAAGAGCCTTATCTCTGAGCTTGGCTTCCTTTTCATGCTTAGAAATTGCGGAAGTATTGGAACTTACATGGCTGATAATGAATTGGAGTTGACGTTGCAGCTTAGTCAAAGCAATTTGGATAGATTCTGGAAATGCAGGATGTTTTTTGAGGGTCATGATAGTGCTGGCCAGACTTTGGTGGAAAGAAACCACATCTTCTACATCATGGGCAAGAAAAGTCAATAATTTCTCTTTAGCTACCATGATAGCATCATCCGAAGGTCCTGGAAGTTTGAGGACACTGGCACTTGAAGTGGAAGTACTAGAAGATTTGGTGGCCTTGATCACTTTGTAAAGATCAGCCAAGGCTGGAAGGGCTCTCCTCTGCATCATAAAGGAGGTTGAGGTAGATAAGGAAGGAGTTGCCTGAGATGGAAACAAGTTTCTATTAGATAGAAAGAAAGAAAGGAGGCGAAGTGTAAAGGAATGAAGACTTGCCTCTGGGATGGAAGGAGTATAACCAGTAGAAGTTCCACCAGTTCCGGAAGGAATGGATATTTCAATAGTGGAAGTTGGAATGGGCAGACTTTTCTCATTCTTGATGGTCAAACTCTCCATAATTGAAGCTTGAAGGGTCAAATCATCTCCTTGTGCAACTTGTTGATCCAGGTGGATATTCATGAAATTGTGTCCCATAGTAGAGCCCTATTGGTCAAGTTGAAGTTGCAAACGTTTTAAAGTGTAAAGTACTGAGATGGAGAAGGATAGGGATTGAGACTTACCAAAACAAGCTCTTTGGATGACTTTGGTTTCTTGTGTTTTGGGGAATCTCCGGTTTGTTTGAACTCTTCTGTTTTTTCCAGTTCAGGCATGATTTTCCTTTTAACCTTTCCAATAACTTTTTCAGAAGGGCTACACATTTTTAGGGCTTTGCTGGAATGCTGAGTAGCGGTTCGCCCTTTGGAAATGCCGACTTCACCATCAGAAGAATCTTCATTAGAAGAGGATAGTTGGGGCTGAAATTCCTTTTTGACAATGGCGAGTCCCTGCGAGAGGAAATATAAGTAAGGTCTAGAAAATGGAAAGTCAAGTTCAACCAAGTTGAAGTACCTGAGAAGTTTTTCCTTTCCCCTTCGCTTTGTATAAAACATCCTCTTCCTCTTCTGGTATTTCTTCTTCAACTTCTTCCACTTCCTCATCATCATCACTTGAGGAAAGACTCTCAACAATTACGTCACCACTTTCGGCTACACCCTCAATTTTACTAGCCACTGTGGTGGTTTTCTCTCCACCTTCTTCCTCTTCACTTTCTTCGAGTATTTCCTCTTCTTCATCTGAAATTAACCAAGTTTCAGTATATGGAGGGTTGATGGATTTCAAAAGGGAATGAAATTTACAGTAAATACATTAATACCTGGAGACAGAGGCTTGAAAGATGCCAGTATGGAATCACAGACAGCCTTATGATTCTTGGTTCGGGTGGAGAAGATATAAGTTGACCACCATACATCGAATTCATTGGTTGATTGAGGTTTGCTAGTATGGCCTTTGAAATTAAAAGCTATTTTTTCTACTGCATAGGCTTGGTCAATTGCTGTAAATTGTTCAGCATCTGTAAGACGAACACGTTGGTCAAAGAATCTGTTGTAAGATTTGCAGGGTGGCAAAGTAAACATTTGGGTAAAGCCCATTTGCTTTGCTAGTTGGGCTGGTTTGTAGAACTCAATGCCACAGAAACTATTCTTCAAAGTAGGTTGAGCAGTGCTGTAATGGAGGTCACGAGCAATAAGGAAGCTGGCCCAATATTTTTCCAATCTTCAGAATGTTTCTTGGTAGACACTCCGGGAGATGGAACCAACCATTATGGCATGCAACCAATGCCAGTGAATGGATCAAAGAACTCATCTTTTGCAGTCTCACATTGATTATAGAAATATTCAAAGTTTTCAGCAAAGCTGAAAGGAGAAAGATCTGCGGTTGCCAAAGAATTGCACAGAAGGGATTTTCCAGTTGGAGTGATTAGGGGTGAAGTTCTGTTTTGGAAGTACACCTTAAGCCACATTTGGAACAACCAGAGGGGCCTTGGAACCTTGAAAACTTGGAAGTAAGGAGATCCTAAAGACCTCTGTATAAATGAGAAAGTACAAGGGGAGCTAATGCTAAGTCTCCATTTCTGGCTATGGAAACCGCCACTTGAACAAAGTCTTTTGTGACTTGGCCAGATGGAAGGCATAGCAAGTGGACAGAAAGCCAACAAATCAGAAAAGCAATGTGCTCATCTTCTTGAACTGGGCTGGTTTGCCTACAGTGTTTAATAAAAGGGAGATGGGAGGAGATAAACTTCTTACTTCCAGTGGTCTTGGTTGGAAAGAAGAATTGTTCAACAAAGAGGGTGGCACTTATGTCATCTCCATGAGGCTTAAGACCTGTGATGCAACAAATATCTCTCAAAGTGGGGGACATCATTCCACATTTAAGATGCAGAGAATTGGTGGTTGAAGACCAAAAGAAAAGGGCTGGAAAGAGGAGGTTCGGATCAAGTGTTATGGAGGACTTACTGATTTGGATAATGTCATAGATGCCCTATTTCTTCCACTGTGAAGAAATTTTCTCATCCTTGGAAAGACGACTCACCCATGAAGACCAGGATGAATGATAAATTGGCCAGTTTCTTATGCTGAATGAGGGTTTTACTCTTTTCCCTTTCTTTAAAATAGGAGGGAACTCTGAATCGAAAGGGAGTGGAGACTTACTAGAAGGGTAGAATTCGCTAATTCAGAGGGGGCCACGTTGGCAAAGGCTGGACCCAATCCAACTAAGGAGTCTTTGAAGTGAATCAGAGGTTCAAGATGAAGTCTAGCAGGGTTTAGAGACTTCAAGAGTACTTGAACTTGGTGACTGTGGCTTCGAATTTTTGATTTTGGTTTGAACAGAAGGAGCTGGCAAGGATGAGCTAGTAGTTGGCTTGGAAGGTTTCTTGGGAGCCATGGTCTATAATTTTTTCATGGGTGGAAATGTCCTTTAGGGTTTCAGAAGGAGGAAAGATGATAGAAGAAAAGTTATTGGTGGACGATAAGGATGAAGAAGATTTATATAGGAGTTGTCAGAGAGGCATTAAGGTCTAAGATACGTTTTTTTAGGGTGAGTAGTTGAAGGATTTCAAAATTCAAAAAGAGTAATAACTAGGATGGTGAGATTTGACAGCTTTTAGCCGTAAATGGATAGGATTTCCTTTGAGATTCGGGATCATTAATGGAAGGGATTGTTTGTAGAGGAAGCCGAGGGAACAGCCACATGTGATAGGGATTGTTTCTTTGATTTATATAGGAGTTGTCAGAGAGGCATTAAGGTCTAAGATACGTTTTTTTAGGGTGAGTAGTTGAAGGATTTCAAAATTCAAAAAGAGTAATAACTAGGATGGTGAGATTTGACAGCTTTTAGCCGTAAATGGATAGGATTTCCTTTGAGATTCGGGATCATTAATGGAAGGGATTGTTTGTAGAGGAAGCTGAGGGAACAGCCACATGTGATAGGGATTGTTTCTTTTAAATGATTATTTCGAGTTTTCCAAGAGTCCAAAGGCGTGTTAACAAGAAGTTGGGTATAAGTTTTGAAATTCAAAAAGGAAAGTTAAGAGATTTTTATGGGGAATCGTCTTTTGGGGGTGTATGATACTTAGAGGGGTTGGTGATTGGAGATAATTAATATAGTAGGTGCTAAGGGGATTAATTGTGTTAAGTATTGAAAGGTTAAAAACCATGATGGTGGTATGTTAATGGAGGAATTCAAATCCCACACCTTATTTTCAGGAAGACCCACAAGGCATGGAATTTGGGGGGCATATGTTT